GCTTAACTCATCAGATCGATACAAAGCAGAAAATCAGCTAACAAATACACAGACCAGACGAGGCAGGGTATTTATACATCCCTTACTGAAAAAAGGACACTAAGTACAGATCAGAGAGTACTCGCAGTTACTGACAGCTAGTTCATAGCCAATAACAACTAATGAAAAGATCGTGTATCAAAGACTAAAATATCAGTCAATACACATGCAACATCAAATAGATTTAGTGTAAAGACGTCATTAACAGTCATTGTTTTTACAATGCCAAAATATAGGTATAGACATATTCTAGTACCGTGAGAGTGTATATGTGTATAACAATAATATTTAGTATGGTTTTTAATTTACTGTTAACAAATCAATATTTATACCAATAAAACAATATCAAAGGTCTAATTACAGTGTTGATTTGGTAACCTTTTAGAATAAGTTTATTTAAAGGAGTGATAAGTCCTGACGAGTTTACAGGGATCGTATCTAAATTTTCAGGCTCGGTAAACAAGAGTGTAGGAATACCCATTACCGTCAGACGTCAAACGGTCATTTCCGTCAAAATATCCTTATCGTGATTCGTCGCAGGTCTCAAATGATCAACCGTCACCGTTTATATTTTTTGAAAGAAATTATCGTGATTCGTCAAAATCAGTCTGTTTTATCGTTATAAAGAAAATATACATTTTATCGTTATGCATCAAAATTTACCGATAATGTCATTTGGAATGATTTTTTACCGTTATTCGTCAAGGTACCCCCATTACAACCCTAAAAAATTAGGATGTGCTATTCTGTTTGAAATAATTTTTCTACCGGTACAGTCTAACTCGCAAACCAAATATATGCATCCATGGAAAAATTTAGTAAAGGTTTTAAGTAATTTGTGGTAATGAAATTCTTGACTAAATAATTTACCAGTAATACATAGATTACGTTCATTGAAATCTAAAGCGAAGGAGTTGGAATATATAAACACAGCAAGACGGTGCCAAAGGAACACCACCGTCAAAAGATGGAAAATTAACGATAGGGGAAGAAAAATTGTCCCTTGTTTTCCTCGGACCGTTTGGAGCATCTCTTTCTTCCATTTTTGTTTTTCATTCAGTGTTTGAGAATATTTTTTTAATATAAAAATAAGGAGATAAATGGTATGATTGCCAACACTACAAACCAGTAAAAGTCTGAAATGGCCTATATCTGTACTCGACTGTACTGATTTTTAATCGACCAGTCTGAATTGGTCTGAATTTTACTTGATATTACTCTACCACAATCTTAACCATACTCGACTGTACTGATTTGTACTTGACCCTTATCTTTGCTATTGAAAATAGTCTGAACTATTACTCGACCAGTCTGAAACAATCTCAACCCATTCTCGACCAATACTTGACCAGTTCTCGACCTATTTTTTCAGTCTGAACTATACTCGACCAAAGGTCTGAACAATACTCGACCAATCTGAACCATACTTGACCAAATAACCTCTACTTTTTAAAAATTTTTACTGTTAAAAAAACTTTCTTTTTAACTGACATTACAACAGCCACAATAAAATAAAGATATAAATAAAAACAGATTTTTACATCCTTACATGATTCTCAGATTTATCAAATCGAGATAGTTAAATTATCTTATTTTAAAGTCTGAGTCTTGTTAAAAAAAAGACTTTCTTTTACCTGAAAACCACACCCATATTGAGGGTAATAAAACCCTATTAAGGTGTTTTTTGTTTGGCATGTTTTTTTTTTTTAAACAAAACTTGATTTTCCTAAATTCCTAAATAAAAACTTCATAGGTTTCATGGTTACATACAATAGTTATATAACTACCTTTTTAATGAAGTAACAACAGCCAACAAAATCACAGAAATTGTTTAACGTTTATCAGAAATATATCTATTCTTATTATAATTTGGGATATATATATATATATATATATTTAAAAGAGGGATAAAAAATTAAAGAAATGAATAAAATTATTCTTCTGATTAGGGGTAAACTATTAAGTAATACATCCTCATTTAAAAGATCACACCTGGTCAGAGAGTAATACATTTTAAATAACATCCATTGAAAATTACAACATCCTGTAAAACTTAAATCACAAGGCCTTTTGAATTCACTAGATTTTAAGAAAAATAGGGGTTTTTTTTACCTGTAAAACACGCCTGTTCTAAGTTAATTAAACCTTATTAAAGTGCTTCTTGTGTGCCATGTCTTTAATTTTGACAAAACGTATTTAAATTTATAATTATACTAATTTTTTACTGCAACTTTGGAATACATTTCTTTTTTTTAAAGGTTATCAAGGATTGCTATGAAAGTTTTATTATCATGATTATATTAAATTCTTGGTTTTGCAAAACAAAGGTGTCATTTTTAACATTTATTAAGTTGCTTTATATACTATTTTATGTATATTTTGATAAAAAAAAAATGTTCACTGCATTATTAACTAATCTCGACTGACACTATAAATCCATACCAGGCTTAAGTTAGTGGTGAAAATTGTCCAGTTACCATTAAATATACTTGAAACATTAAATAACATTTTAGATATTTGAATAATGGTTGAAAGTTCTAGTATTTTTGATGTTCATAAAGCAATGTGAACATGATATCGTGTAAATAAAAATTCATTTAACAAAAACTTAATTTATTACATAATATTTTTTTAATCCAACCAGAAATTACTTCCTTTGATCACCCTGTTTTATTTTAATTTTAAAGGTGATATACATATATGTATGTATAACAGTTCCTAAATTGATGAAATACAATAGATACATACAAAAAATAGGTCTAGGTTAAGACTTGGTCGAGTATGGTTCAGACTAGGTCGAGTATGGTTCAGACTAGGTCGAGCATGGTTCAGACTTGGTCGAGAATGGTCCAGACTATGTCGAGTATGGTTCAGACTTGTATAAAATGGTTAAGTACTGGTCGAGTAAAGGTCGAGTACAAGTTCAGATAGTAAACTAACGGCCTAATTTATAACAAAACAATTTACGAGAAAACATATAGGACAGACATGTATCAACGAGCAAAAAACGACAACCACTCAATAACACTCAATATTCAATAATCAACTAATGATCACTAATGAAATTGGACCGATCTTTAGACATGCAGGCACATGTAGGATCATATAGAATGTGGCGGGGTTCAACATGTTTTTAGGCGCCAACCATCCCCTAACCTGAGACAGTGGTGTAACAGTACAACATAAAAACAAACAATAAAAACAAGAATGGAATTTAAGTATGTTTTTCTAAAGTTCTATTAAACTCACAGATGACTTTTACTATCGATTTTACCGCGAATTCTAATATTCTCTTCATATCATACTGGCCCCTGATTTTGTTTGTGTGAAACTAAAGAGATTTGTTATGATTGCCAATAAGACAAATAACCGCAAAAAACCTAAGGGCAAGGATGTTTACAACCAAGGGTCATTTACGGCATTTGTCAAACATTGATAACAGTCAATTATGACAGACAGCGACAAACAACCACTGGACAACAGGCTCCTGGCTTGTGACAGGCACATACAGAATTGGCGGATTTATATGGGTAGAGTGCATAAGCTCCCCCTCCCATTGGAAAATATATCAATTATTGGCTTAAAATCGTACAAAATGTTTTTAGCCTCGCACCGACCGCTCGGCGGTATATATTTCCTGTTTTCTGGAATTACGTCACCCCCTTTTGAAAATCCTGAATCCGCACATGTACAGACTGTGGTTATACATGTTTCTGAGCGCCGTAAACCCTCTGGCTTACTTGGGAAAGTGATGTAACACACAGTACGTCATTAGAGCAAACTCGAAAATAATAACAATTATAGATTTTCCAAAGTGTGCCTTTATGAGCTACATATAATTAATATAACAGATTTCTTTTGTCACTTTTTGTTAAGTTTAACTATAATAGATTTTAAGCTTAAAAATGTGACCGGAGGTCCGGGGGCTTTTTAAAAAAATAGATCTTCATTCAAAATGTTTAGTTTCTTTAACGTTTATGGAATTTTAATACATGTAACATCTAAAAGTATTTGTAGCAACATATAAAATCAGGTGCACAATACCATGAGCTACTTAGGTTTTTCTAAGTTTCAATGCAGTCACTGGATTAAGAATCGTTATGGATACAAAGAACGGACGGGCGAACAAACGAGTACTCATGCATACGAAATAAAGTCGAGAAAGGTACTCACAAAGCATATAATAATTGATTGAAGTTTGCTTTACCAGGAATTTCAGTGAACTTTCTGCTTACTACAGACGAGGAATTTATTTTGAGTTTCTTTTTCTGGAAATTAATCTTTAGAATTAAAAAGAATATTTATGTCAAATGTTCCCATGCCTGATTTTCTGATTTTATTTATGAGATACATTTTATTTAATTTATATTAGATTTGTCAGATAGATATATTTATTTGATCAAATATCAACATAAAACATTACGTAATCTGGATTGCCCATGAAAGCCATACGGCTTATTTCCAATGGGGTTCATTTTAACGCCATATCATAGCTCCTCAACGGTACTCAAGTTCTTATACATCCTTGATCACCAATGCTTGGATTCGAGCATTCGTAATAGAGGTAAATTAAAAAAAACTTTTTCCAACGCACCAATTTTATTAAGCGTTATTTTAATATGAAGGAATGTTTATCATTTGTCATGTTGTAAATATGTTTTCGTTGCTATAGCATATATATGCTTTTTGCAATAAAGTATTCATTCATAAATTAAAGTATAAAACTTTTACCTCATGCTGTATGAAGTAATTAAAATCGTTTGCCAGATGAATTGTTTTAATTAAATCAAGCTAACAAAGCTAATGCTATTCTAAACAAATTGGTTTTAGATAATTTAATCACATCAAGGCATATTGGAAATGTTAAATCCCAAAATCAGTAACATATTATACAAATCTATGGAGCATATCAAGTTGAGAAATGTTTCTCTTTATAAAAACGTGTATTCAGTAAGAAGTACTAATGTAAATATGTCAAGGTATATAAAATACTAGTGAATCTTTTCATCTGATCCGTTTTGTGATCGTGTTTGGGCTTGAATTAAACACCAGGTATCGCTCTTCATACCTTATATACACATTGAATAGACACAGGAGATTACATGAACATTTATTTCATATATATATATATCATACGTATACATTTTATTTTAATGGAATCTATGTTTGGGAAAGTGTAAGAGTACTATATACCTGACAAAATATGGATACTTCCGTCAAACTTGGTGTGGGGATTAGTTTCACGTTGATCGTAATTTTAGGATTGTTACTTAACATTTTATATGTTTTCGTTTTCATCAGAAGAAGACAACTTCGCCAACCAACTAAATATTTCTTATTTAGTTTAGCTTTAGTAGACATACTATCCATCACATGCTGGACATTGTTTAGTCAGATTTCAGCTTTCCTGGGAGAATGGGGACTACCTACTGAGGTTTGTCAACTGCAAGAATTTACAATGTCTTTTTGTTTACTGTTGAATATGCATACATTCATGATACTGGCATTAGAGAGGGCACTGTTCCTATTAAAGCCATCTCGACACAGTGAAATATGCATAAATACGGTAATTATAATTATTCTAATCGCTATGTGGCTTTTTGATGCAGTTATTTCAATTTTTCCTTTTACTGGATGGGGAGAAATAAGCTATTTTGAAAATCAATTTCAGTGTTCAATGGACTATGAAAAAAACACGCGACAAATGAGATTTGCCACAGCCATCGCCGTGGGAATTCCGTTTTTAGTTATGGTTATAGCTTATGTCATTATATTCCTTAAAATGAAAAAGTTACAAAAAGGAGTATCTAAAGGAGGTCAGATAATCTTGGAACAAGCTGATTTTGCGAACGGAGACAGCTACGCGGCTAGGCTTAAACGACAACAGCTGAAATTCCAGAATGCAGGGATGAAACGAAAGAAACCGATATTAGGACGAGAAATCGATAAAGACGGATTTGCTCGAGATGAAAGCTCAGATGAAGAAAATAAGACATCAAAGGACACAAAAGAAGTTAAAAACATTTTTTATTTGTATAAAAGTGATGTGGCATTGATCAAAACTTATCTCATCATGACGGTAACATATCTGTTGTTATGGGTACCGTATATTATCATTACGTATGTTCAAACTTTCGACCGTTACCATGGAATTCCTGATGTTGTGTTTTATATTTTTGTTATTTTCACACATTGCACGGCATTTGCAAAACCGATGACTTATGTTATTCAGAATGAAAATTTCCGCACCCATTTCAGGAAAGCGTTAACCAAGAAGACCAAATATCGAAATTTTGAAAGAAATTGACTTTATGAAATGTTGCTCTCCTTATGTTTACATTGTAAATAAATATTTACATGAAACAAGATTAGAATTTTAATATATTCTTTGCGTGGGTTGGAATTTTGCCAAGCTAGTTTAAATTTAATGTTAAATCGAAATGTCCTTTTAAAAGATCGCATAAAGAGAAATTTATTTGAACCTCAAATTTAACACAAAAATAAGACGTTAACTACCGCCACGTGTGGTGAAAATGCTTTTGTATTTGACAATATATAGTAATTACGTTTTAAAAACGTTAAATAAAGGTTCTGTATATTAAGATCGTTATACTAGTAACTTTAACTTGTACATTGGAAAAGCATATACACATGTACATGTTGAAATGAATAATTGTTTTGAACATGCACACTTTAAAAAATACATCTCAAAGTTAGGAATATATGTTTATTTCTTTTATTATCTGGGTTTTTTTATTCATTACTTTGTCGCATGGAGAATAAGACCAGGCGATATTCCAATTTTTCAGTAGTATACTTTGCTTAATTCTTTGGTAGATGTCGATCTTGCTCCATTAAAATTTTGTAAATTGCAGTACATGTATATAGATTCAGTGTCAATGATTATCAACAAATATCATACCATACAAAACCCGGCTTTTGTTGAAGACTGTATACAAACAGGGAGAAAAAATATCAAGGGACAGTCAAAACCACAAGTAGAAGAAAAACAGACATCACGACCAAAAGAAAAACCACGAAAAGACAAAACACTACACAGAAAAACTAATGATTGAGCAACAAAAACTTCACATAAAACCGGGTAAATGAGTGTATCATTATTATATGTATTGTTTGTGTAAATTACTGTCTCATTGACGTAAACTCTAAATCTCTTTATTTTTTTTTGGCAAAGAAATCTTACAATGCTGTAATGATTTTGCCGGCAGTCTCATTAAAAAAGCCCCAAAACCTAACATTTAGACAACAATGTCACTTTAATACGACATACATTCATAACTATAGGACGACAACAAATTATCAATAAATCTAATAGGTAGGTGGGTCGACTCGGCATGAAGGACTGGAAATTAAACTGTAACTTATAAAAGATGGAATGCTCAAAAGGCACAAACAGTTTGCCTTGCAAACAGACAACATAAGATTCAATCTGAGATTTTTTTCTTTATAAAATGCAAAGAGCGTGGCCCTTAAATCACTCAAGAAATCGGATTTAACGTTTACTTCCGATTCAACATTGCTGCATATTTATACATGCCCCCTTGTCACCATCTCTCTTTTATACATAACTCTTGACCTGCTAATGACATTAATTTTAAATCACATGTTTAGGAAAAAAGTAAAACACTGACTTTGAAGACGACCCGTCATATACTTGTATAACTGTTCACGAAGTTCATAATCTAAGGTTAAATTTAGTCTTTGAAAGCGAAGGCCTGAGCGCGCATATTTGAAATTTGCCCCAACGACTTCTATGTTAGTTCATTGCGTAATCACAGAAGTTTTCACATGTGTTCATGGCCTTGAATTATCTTTAGTTGTGTAGGAGGCAGATTTCCAAGCGGGGGTCTGGATACAAAAACAAAATCCGATTACCGGTTATTTAAAATTATTAATTAATTGTTCATTCATTTGTTTGACATTATCAAAAGCAAGAGCGATCTTGCGGTGCCCAGATGTGACCCATCTTTTCAGCACTGGAATGGTGTCCATTTCACTGGTTAACGGACTGCACAGTGATTTTATTAACAACTGATTTGGAATAAAAATGTTTAAACTTTATGTACATAAAATAAGGAGATGAAATATAATATAATTGCCATGGAGATAACTATAAACGAGGATCTGGAAGGATTTTACAGAAAAGAGACAAACAAGCAACAAACAAACAAATATAAAAAAGAATACAGAAACATGGCCCTTATTTTTAGAGATTAGTGCATAATGGTAGAAAATAAAAAAATAGAAGAAAATGACCAAAAGTAATTAGAAAGAATACAGAAATTTAGACCCCATCAAGGCCCTCATAAAAAAAAATCGGCTTCCAACAATGAGCTTTAACGTATGATAAGCTATAGAAGACCGTTATGACCAAATGTAAAACAATACAAAAGAGAAATCTAAACAGCATGATTTAAACTAGTGATCATTATAACCTAACTGTCCTGAAATATAGAAGATTGACAAACACGCAGAAGTTATTCCACAGATTATATATTTTTTAAATGTCACTCTTTTCTTTTCACAAATTCCATTGGGAACGTGTACGACTGAAAGATTCTCAAAAACTTTTCCAATAAGTTTTATTGATTTTATCAAAATGATCGATCATTATACACTTAAGATCCAAGTACCTGTGATTGTAATGTTCAAAGCAGAACACAAAAATCAGATATTTACATTTTTGATTTTTCATGTGATAGCACGATGATGAACTATATGAAGTACACACACCACTTACTGTTTTTTCCTTATCAAATATGAAATACACGCAGACGCTATCATATTTATCGATCATCTTTCTACGACGTTGTCTTTTGAAGTGGCTGGAGTCTCCATTCAATCAATAGTTTAATTTTTTTTTATAGAAAGTTGGAGGAGGCAACATCAGTTCAGTAGTCAGTGCTTTGGTGCTAAAATGATTCATAAATACTTTTCTAAAACTCCCCGTTGACAAATTAAGAATTTATTAAGAAACTGAGGTTCCAACTTCCTCAGGCAAAGCTGACCATAGATGGATTGGGTTTTATTTTAGGTCCCTTTTGGTGATATAGCTCTTGACGTTTCTACGTATTTATCCATCCATGATTTCAAAGGTTCAGATTTCAGAGTTCCAGATGAAGGTAAACCCATAAAAAGCGCTTCGGACGCATGACATTTATAAACGGTTTAATTCTCATTTACTTGCAATGGGTCGATACCGCTTCTGATGAACTGTTAGTCCTCCTAAGGTTTCATCAGCTCAGTAGTCAGGGCTTTGGCGCTGACATGGTTTGTTACATAATTTTATAAAAAATCCCCCGTGGATAGATTAAGAAAATGATAAGAAACTAAGGTTCCAACTCCCTCAGACAAAGTTGACCTTATATGAATTCGGCTATTATTTTATGTTTTCTTTTTGTAATATAGCTCATTACAGTTCTACATATACATCCCTGGCTTTCGAATGTACATGTTTGATCGTTCCTGATGAAGGTTAACCCAATTGTTCCTGATCATGATGAGGGTAAACCCAATTGCTTGTGAACTGTTAGTTCCCGAAGGAATCATCGGCACAGTAATCAGTGATTCGATGTTCATATGATTTATAACATGCTTTTCTAAAATTTGCTGTTGATAAATTAAGAAATTATTAAGAAACGAAGGTTCCAACTCCCTCAGGTAAAATTGACCTGAATAAATTTCACTGTTATTTTTGATCCCTTTTTGTCATAAAGCTTCTATCGTTTCAACATGTTTGTACATCCCTGGCTTTCAAACGTATAGATTTTAGCGTTCCTGATGAAGGTAAATCCCAAAAAAGCGCTTCGGACGCATGCAATTTACATTTGAAATTTTAACAAAGTTTTGCTAGCTAATAATAGTCCATTGATAAGCAATTTTCTTAAAACTCGCTCCGTTGATTGGTCTATTGAGATAAAAGATTGCGAAGTTTACATCCCTGTAAACTGTTAGATATTTAGAGATTTGAAGGATATACCTTTCATCATTTATTTAGAATTGAGACTGTTATCTATTTCATTTTCACAAAGCTTTCAAGAATACTATTCTGACAAATTTGTTCATGTTTTTTAAAATGATCGAGGTTTACTTATTTACAGGAACGTCACATGCGATTGAACAGTGGGAGGTAAATTGTTCTGAATCACCTCGGACTCTCAGAAAGGGATAAATATATAAATATGTAACTCGCGTAGTAATTAGACCCACAAACTGAAGTTTATCAGTCTTTAGGTTTCTATGTTGTGTTTTCTGTACTGTTGTTTGTCTTTTGGTCTTTTTCTTTCTTTGCCATGGCGTTGTCAGTTTATTTGCGACTTATGAGTTTGAATGTCCCTTTGGTATCTTTCGCCTTCATTTATCAGCTTTTCCATGTACCCTTGTATGGAAATGCAGTAATTTCATATTTAATTGTGAAAGCTCTCTCTATGTTTACGAAACACTAATAAGAACAAAGAGCTCCATCCTTTTCCAATATCTATAAGCAAATCCTTAATACATCTCTTCACTACCTTCTCTCTTGATTCCGTTACATTGACAGTGGCAGAAATTCGAAAAAGAACTTTTTATATTTTTCAACATGCCAATAATGCTCACGACTCAATGGATGTACTTAAGAAATATTTGCCTATAGAATCAAACTCCTTGAAACTACTACATAATTTAGGGTTGGAATCATGTCAACGGATTGGTATTGCAATCCAATGACAACCACCTCTCCTTCTCTTCAGAATTGTAAACCAAACTGGTATCCAAGGCTTTCAGAATTAAATCCAGCGGATTATTTCCACCAATGATATCGTGACTCAGCGATTACATGAATTTCTCAGCCACCAAACCAACCAGGATTGCAGAGCTGAAACATATCTCGTGCAAGCAACATGAAAATTTACAATATATAGAGAAAAGGAACAACAAAACATTCCTGGCATCATAACATATAAGACAACGTGAAATTCAACGATTAGTTTGAGCAAGTGTAAGGTTCTAAGTTTTCTCGGTTGTAAACCTGTTTGAATAAAAAAAAAAGTGTGTAAATTCTGCGGGTAGCATAATTTCAGATTCACACACACTTATCCTCGTAAATATGAATTGGTGCATTGAATTTGTAAAATGTTGATGGTTACAAATTGTCAACGGAATGAGTCAGATGTAAGTCTCTCACCAACGAACAGCTAATTGTTATATTATGAAAAAAAGATATATTTGATTTTGCATTCTTTTCTCAGGAAATCATTAATGTCTATCACATTCAATTTTTCAATGCCTGTGATGTTTTGATGCAAATCTTATCCTTAGTTTCCGCATCTATAATTTCCATTGTAAATTTGAAAGATTTGAGGGAGGCTCTTGTTGACTGTCAGTTTTGTTCTTATGAATGTCTCATTCTTGAATTTAATGGTATTCTTTATGTAATGCTACATCATTTTCTAGAAACTCAACAAATATGAGAAAATTATAGTTTAATCCAACAATAAACTTTCATCAAAAACGAATCTGTAGCCTACTCAATCAACGAGCATTTCTTAATTCTGAGTAACTTCATACAAAGTAGATCAACCTACTGAGACCTCGTTAAACCGAATGAAGCACTTGTCTCGATATAATAAAATCAATCTATGTGTTCTTTGAACGAATGCTTTAAAAACATCAATCTTTTATCTTTTTGTTCCAAACGTATTTGCACCTACCATAATCGGCTTTTTCGTAAAATTTGTC